CCACACCCAGCTTTGCCTCGTGGCTCTGAACCATTGGTGATACATGCATGACCGTCTCCTTAGGGGGTATGGGGAGAGTTCCATTGATGGGACAGTCATGCATGTACCACCAGTGGTTCAAAACAGCAAGAATGTGTTAGTGTCTTATCTCAAAATATGAACTTCTAAATGAAATATTCAATAGTACATTTTAGAAAGTAGAAAATAGAGAAAAGTATAAAGAAGAAAACAGATCTCCTATATAAGTCTGCTAATGGTTATAATCTTAGTTTTCGTCTGCAGTAGTCTATAGAATAGGCTATCTTTTATGTTATAAATATTCTTTCAAGCATGGCTTTAAATAAATAAATATTATTCCAGTATACAAAAAGGCTATTACTGATGTAAATGTTCTTTTTTTGTGTGTCTTTTTGAGACAGGGTCTCTCTATGAAGTTCAGACTGGCCTTGAGCTCACTTTGTAGCCCAGGCTGGTCTTGAACTCAAAGGGATCCTCCTGCCTCAGCCTCCCAACTGCTGGGATTACAGGCATGTGCCACCACACCTGACTTATTGATGTAAATATTCAAAAAAAATTTTTTTGAAACAGGCCTCCATTATATGGTTCAGGCTGGCCCTGAAGTTGTGATTCTCTTGCCTCAGGCTTCTGGGTTCTTGGAAGGCCACCAAATATTGAACAGTTTGATGATGACTTCATTTTCTGCCTTACTGTGAGGTAGAAATGAGTGATACTTGGGAATAGCTATAGTTATTTTCTAAGAACTAATCACTCAGCTGTGTAAGCACTGGGCCATGTTTAGGAGCCCGGCCTTTAGATCTCTTTTATGTTCCTTTCCATGAATTATGATATAATCTCTACACTTCTCACAAATCTACACTTAGAGTTTGTTGTAGTTGCATTCTCATTGCCGGGACAAAATACCCAGTGCTCACGGTACGGAAGGAGGGGTTATTTCAGCTCACTGTTTGGAGGGTTCAGTCCCTGGCCAGCTGGCTCCAAGCCAGGAAGCGCATGGTGGAAGCGTCTGGCGGAGGAGAATTGCTCACACTGTGGCTGCTGAACAGAAGGGGAAGGGAGGAGCACGGGCGGGAATGCACCCAGGTCTCACCTCCAGTGTGACCCTCCTCTCTGACCGGGTCCCATCCCTGAACCGTGCACTCACCTCTGGGTTAATTCACTGACGATTACAGTCCCCACATGATTCAATCACTTTCCAAAAGCCCAGCCTATGGAAACGTGAGCCTTTTGGGGAACATTCTACATCTAAACCGTAACAGACTTATATAACTTTCAAAACAAAATGGAAAATCAAAAACCATTATTCTGGTCCCCTAATTTTCTTTCATTTTTTTGATCCAGAAACCTACAAACCAAAGAGGTATAATGACTAGCTCAGGGTCATACAGTTTGTCTGGTTTCAAAACTGCACTTCTTAGTTCAAGGCTATCCTGAACTACGTAGTGTGACACTGCCTTAAAAAACCCCAAAAAACCAAAGCAAGGCCAGGTGTGGTGGTGCACACCTGTAATCCCAGCACTCGGGAGGCTGAGGCAGGAGGATCATTGCTAGTTTGAGACCAGCCTGGGTTACAAAGTGAGCTCAAGGCCAGCCTGAACTGCATAGTGAGACCCTGTCTCAAAAAGACAGATTAAAAGAAAAAAAAAACAGACAAAAACAAAAAACCTCAAAACTATATTTTTCAACTTAAATCTTTAGATCTTTCCTATTTCTTATATTTAGCTAGCTTTTCCTTTTCTTTGTTTTGAGATTGGACCCAGGGCCTTTGCCCTGAGCTACCTCCCTAGCCTCTTTTCAGATTGTTTGAGACAGTGCTTGAGACAGTCTGGCTAAGTAGCTTTGGCTGGACCCTATCGTGCAGTCCTGCTTTAGCCTTCAGAGTACTAGTGTTACAGGCATACGCTGCTGTGTCTGACTTTATTTTTTCTTTTTAAGAAAGACACATTCCTGTTTAAAAAAAAAAAAAAAATCGGGAATTCAAACAAAGGAAAACAAACCTGATAGGTAGTGCTTCATCTTATTTTCAAAATAATTAACTTCTAGCCGGTTATGGTGGTGCATGCCTGCAATCCCAGAACTTTGGGAGGCTAAGGCAGGAGGATCTCAACTTGGAGCCCAGCCTGAGCAGTCTGACCCTGGCTCAACATTAAAATATGGAGGTTGGCGTTCGCCCAGTGAGACGGTCCTGTTCCGTCACCAGTACCAGACACATACGACTAATTTATGACAGAAATAGGTAATGCTGTCCCATCCCTCCAAATTTAAAAGGTATAGGAAGATAAAAATGCAGTGAAAGTCTCCCAGATTTCTCTGAGAGGCAGGCGCTGTTAACCTTTTTTTTGGTGTATGTGTGTGTTTTTGAGACAGGGTCTCACTACGCAGTTCAGGCTGACCTTGAGCTCACTTTGTAGCCCAGGTCAGCCTTGAACTTCTAACATCCTCCTGCCTCAGCCTCCTGAGTGCTGGGATTACAGGGGCGCGCTACCATGCACGACCCCCTCTGGCACTGTTACCAGTTTCATGTATATCAAAAAGTTGAGTGAAAGTATTATCTGAATTAAATTTTCAGTGAATTTAAGATCACTATGATTCAAGAAAACGCATTCCAGAGAAGTGAAAGTGGGCATTAGTGAGGAGGGTGCGGATAACACGAAGCACTGACTTTTCATTAAAGCCATGGTGCATAATCCTGGGCAGTAATTTCTGCGGGCTGAGCCTCGGGGCTGAGAGGAGAGAGGCGCGAGGGCTGCCTGTGGCGGTCACACGTGTAATCCCAGGTACTCGTGAGGCAGAGGCAGGAGGGTTGAAAGTTCACACCCAGCCTGAGTGACCCGGGTGATACCCTGGCTCGAAGCAGAAGGGGCTGGGGACGAACTCAGCCTCCCCTGGGCTCAGTCGGGAGGGCGAAGGGGGTCGCGCTCACAGCAGCCTTTCCCTTCCCCGCAGCCTCTCCTCCTTCCCTGCCCTTCCTCTGCCAGCTGGCTCAGCTCCTGCGCCGGATCCGGAGGGCCACGTGCGCTGGCCTCCACCAGCTCCCGCTCCGAGACTGAGCGGCCTCCGCCACCCCTGCGCCACGGAGCGGAATCGCCGCTGGTGGCCGTGACCTAGAAGAGCCCACGCGCGAGTGAAGTGTCGCACCGCCTCCCTGCCGCGCCCCCGGGGCTGGCTCGGGGAGACCCTGCAAAGAGTGGGGCCAACGGGCATGGCTCTCCGGGGCAGCACTGCCTACACCCAGACGCCCCTCGGGGAGGAGGGTTTTGGGAACAGGGACGTTGTCCCCGGAACAGTCCAGGTGCTCAGCGAAGCAGGGCATGACTTTTTAGGCTGAGGGGTCTGCAGAGCCGGACTTCACCTCCGAGCGACCCTTCACCTCCTTGCAGAACTTGTGGCTGATGGCTGCTCCGCAGGACAGCCGCTCGGTGAGGGGGACGGGAGAGCCGCCCTCCTGCCCCGCGCGGTCTCGGGCTGCGGCAGCTACCGTGCAGGCACCTTCCCCGGCGCTGCTGTAGCGCGCCAGGCCCTCGCCCTGCACGCGGGGCCCGGGCTCCAGCTCGCTTCCGGCGTGGGGCGCTGCCGTTTGTCCAGGGGGCCGCGTCCTGCCTCCTCGGTGCACAGCGGGGCGGACCCCACCCCGCGAGCCGCGTCCCAGATACAGCCTGTGGCTTGCAGGATGCCCAAGTTTTCTGCTCCTGTGGCCTTGAAAAGTAGGCCAGCCCGAGGGGCCGAGGAGCTGAAAATGGAACTGGGTAATCGGGTGAGCAGGCCGGGAGCAGAGCCAGGCGCGGGTTTGGAGGCGGTGGGCAGTAGGCCTGGGGAGGAGGCCCGAGCCCTGGCCCCGGGCAGTGCAAACGCTGCGGGCTTCTCTTGCGGCCAGAGGCTCTTCCGCCGTCTGAGCCACAGAGCGGGGAGCGCTGCTGCGGTCGGGATGGGGAAACCCCGCCGGCCCGCCTCGCGCCTCTTCCCTCTCGAGGAGAGGCGCTCACTAGCTGCTCGGGGTCGGGTGTCCGCTTGCAGGACTTTTGAATTAGCAACGTTTTAGGAAAAGAAAACGCCTCATTCCTCGGGCCTGGCCCAGCTCTGTAGGAAGCAAATCTGTGCCTCTTTAAATAGGCTTTACATAGAGCTTAGGTCCCGGGGGAGAGAAAGAGCGTCAGATGAGGAGGTTTGATGTCCTCCTCTATGATGATTTTGTTTCTCCTGCTCATTTGGAATTGTACTATGTGGGACTCGTGCACCCGGTTTAGAATTTCTTAAAATGAAAATGTGGTCCCATTCACTACCCTGGAAAAAACTCTTCAATGGTTCCCATGGCCCACAGGATAAAATCCAGGTTCTTCTGCGCAGAACCAAAGCCCGTTACGTGCCGTTTTGGGCTGACACCTCCGCTGGACTGCGCTGCCCTCAGCCGCAGGACAGACGGATCCCTGAACCACAGGCCCCGGGCCGGCTGCAGTTGCCAGTCCTTGCTTGAGGGCCCTGCTCCAGCCCTCCTCAGAGTTCCGGACTCGCTCAAGGGGCGCCTGGGAGTCCTTCCGAGTCTTCCTGCTTCCAGGACCTTGCTGCAAAGCCCTCCTGCCCGAGTAAGCTGTGCTTGTGGAGTTCCTCCTCGCCTTCCATGCTGTGAGCTGGGGCGTGAGGCTCTGGCAGCGTGTGTAGTCAGGCTGAGATCCTGAACTGCTAGGGTGTGTGTGTGTGTGTGTGTGTAACAAGGGCATTTACTTTTAGGGGTGTGTGTGTGTGTGTGTGTATACGCGCGCTACAAGGGCATTTACCTTTAGCCTCAGGCTCTCACCTGGGCATTCTTAGCTCTGGCTGAGTAGATGAGGCTGTGCTTAGGAAGCTCTTGGCGTGTTCTGCCTCAAGGAAGAGTGCCTGAGAGTGGTCACTGACACCAGGCGCAGCTGTACCCGGTGCCCAGCTGGGACCTGGAAGTTCGAGGTCTCAGAGGGGTCGGTCAGTGGATTTACCCAACTGATACACAAAGGCCATGTGCTTTGGGTGAGCTTATTTTCTGTTGTGCAACCCTGAGCATAAAGATCTGATTAAGCCCACCTCGTTCCTCTCTCCCCGTAAGTTCCCTTGTGCTGTGGCCCCAGGCCTTCAGGGTCTGTCTGTCCTGAACCTTGCAGGGCTGTCTTGTACCAGTCCCAGCTACCTGCCTAGTCGGGTGAGGAGCGCTGCACCAGAACTCTGAACTCCCCTGGTGGGACCTGGACCTTTTCTGAAGATGTAGCCTGATGTTTATTTTGGTTCTTAATTCTGGGCTTACTGTAGTCAAAGTGAAGGTAGATTGTACCCATGCTTTCTTGTTAGACTTATACCTGTACTGTCCACTACAGCCTGATGTGACTTTGGAGCATTGAAAAGGTGCCTAGTCCGAGTTGAGGCGTTTTGTCTTGTAAAACACACACTGGATTTCAGAGACCAAGTACTAAAAAGAAAAATGGGAACCAGGCCTTGGGCCACCCATCTGTAAGCCCAGCACTCTGGGAGGCTGAGGCAGAATTGCAAGTTCAGTCCTAGCCTGAGCAACTTAGCAAGATCCTGTCTCAGAATAAAAAACAAAAAAAGGCTGGGGATGTGGGTCCAATCCCCAATGTAGGGTTGGGGGCATGGAAACAATTTTATATGGATTGTATGTTGAAATGATAATATTTTGGATATATTGCATTAAATAAAGTATATTAAAACTGATTTAATGTGGTTTTTTTCTACTTTTTGTCCCGAGGCTCCTAGAGTGTTTAAAATGACCCGTGTGCCTCACGTTTAAACGGTGCTATTCAGCATATAACATACACACCAGCCAGCTCAGAGGGCATAGAGGTCAGGGAATTTGGGGAGCTTAGGTCTGGGAAGAGCCTCAGTCGCAGATCCTATCTATTTTTTTGAGACAGGGTCTCTCTATGCAGTTCAGGCTGGCCTTGAGCTCACTTTGTAGCTCAGGCTGGTCTTGAACTCACAATGATCCCCCTGCCTCAGCCTCCCAAGTGCTGGGGTTACAGGCGCGCATCACCATGCCAGGCGGCAGATCCTCTCTGTAGGCTGCTGCTTGTTCAGCTAAGGAAATGGAGACCCATGAAGGTGAGGCCATTGGCCCCAGCTCGCAGAGCCTGTGTAAGACCCTGGTCTCTGGTCCTTGAGGTCTAGTGCTCTCTTTGGCCTCTTAACTCCTCCCTGTCACTCCTGGGGTGAAGTTCACTGCAAAAGGCACAACAGGGTAGCATGAAAAAGTCTGGTTTTTCCATTGTTTGTTACCAGTCCCCCAATTCCTGCCCACAGGCAAGCATTGCTGTGGATCTGTTTACCCTTGCAGACATTCTCTGAAATTTTTTCTTTCTCTTACATGAATAATAGAATACCATGCTTTTGTTTAATAACTTAATCCCTATCAACATGTGGAGAGCTCCTTCAGTATTTATTGCTGTGCATTATTCCATTGTATGATAAGATCACAAAGTATATATTCTCTCTTTTTAAAAAATTATTTATTTATTTATTTTTTTTTTGGTTTTTCTCCGGTACTGGGAATCAAACTCATGACCTTGTGCTTTCGAGGCAGGCGCTTTGCTGCTGAGCTAAATCCCCAGCCCTTCTCTCTCTTTTTTTAGTTTTTTGAGATGGGGTCTCACCATATAGTTCAGGCTGGCCTTGAACTCCCTATGTAGTCCAAGTTGGCATCAAACTAGTGGGAATCCTCCTGTCTCAGCCTCCTGCGTGCTGGGATTATAGGTGTGCGCTACCACACCTGCCCACAAAAGTATATACTTTCTATACTTTTTTTTTTTTAATGCTTGAGACAAGGTCTTGCTAGGTGGGTCAGGCTGGTCATGAATTCCTGGGCTGTAGATTCTTCCACTTCAGCCTCATGAATAGCTGGGGCTGCAGGCAGGTGCCACTGCACCTGGCAGCCTGTTCCTCTCTAAGGCTGTACCCCGATGTCTCCCCCACCTTCCCCTGGGTCCCTTAGGACCCACAGGCAATAGTCATCTCGTCTTTGTCATCACTTCCCCGCAAATGCAGCAGCTGCTCAGCCTGCCCACTAACCACCCCTTCTTCCCAGTGTAGCGGCTGCATGCTCGGGGCAACAGTTTTCCCCTGTGTCTGCATTTTAGTGATCTCCGCCATCTGACTGAAACAGCCGGAAGAGACGGCAGAAAGGGAAGAGCCCGACACAAACGGTAAATAGGGCAGTGCCACGGACCGCCCCTCCTTGAGTGGGCAAGTGGCCAGGTTAATAGACTTTGCCTTCTGCCTCTCTCGGGGGTAGTTGTAATTGTGTGTTTACCTCTACCTTAGGCAAGCTGGTGCCTCCTGGCCAAGGTCTGCCTCTGCCCTGGCCCCTCCCTGGAGCTTCATACATGGAGTGTTTACCAGAAAAACACAGGGCCTTTTTCTGCTTTTCCCCTGGAAACCATAGTGTTTTGGAGTGGAAAGAAGCTAGATTAGGGGGAGTGGGCACAGTGCCTCTAGGAGCTCATCAAACCCCACATCATTTCTCCAGAGATGAACAGGAAGAAGGCAGAGCTCCAGACGTTGTTTGCCAGCCTCTAGGTCTCTTGATATCACAACTATTTTCCTTTTT